ATGCCTTATACCTGATCCCTTGGACACCTTGTGATTGCATAGGCTGGTGTGCTTCTTCCATGTGGGCTTTGTTACCTTCAAGCCTTTAAGACCCCAGATGCCATACTTTTTGTCATATCTTGCCCTGTCCCACGTCTCCTTTCACCCACTTTTTGGTTGTCCGTCCCCTAGGGAGGAGGTCACATATAGTTCCATGTAATCGGTTCCCTCTTTCCTACCCACTTTTTGATAGCCGGGCATCATCAGCTTTCTTTGCCACATTTGCTTATGCACCCATTTGTCTTCAGTGATCCATTGGACACCTCGTGATCACACAGGCTGATATGTTCTTTCATGTGGGCTTTGTTGCTTCTGAGCTAGATGGCCGCTTGTTTACCTTTAAGCTTTTAAGACCCCAGACACCAATAGCTTTACTTTCTGATATATTTGTATAGTAAAGGTTTCTTTGATTTTACGGCAATATTGTTTTATTTTTCCTCATAGATTTGATCAAATCCTTTAATATTTTAGTGCTTTCTTTCAGTGCGCTAGGTGCTGTACAAAAGGATATGGTTTCTGTTGTGAATTAGTTTTCAGTTTATATTGGGCAACGAAAATATCCAAGTAGCCATTTGTGAAGGTGTAGAAAGGTTTAACCCTTTGTTTTATATATAGAACCCTGGTGGTGTAGTGGTTGTATGTTGAGCTGCAATCCTCATGGCCGGCAGTTCAAAACCAACAGTAGCTCCTCAAGAGAAAGACTAGGGTTTCTACTCCCATAAACAGTTACAGTCTTGGAAATCCACATGGGGTCACTATGATTCAGCATTGACTCGATGGCATTGAGTTTAGTGAATTCTCTCTCTTTTAAAAAAAATCATTTTATTAGGGGCTCATACAACTCTTATCACAATCCATACACACATCAATTGTGTAAAGCGCATTTGTACATTCATTGACCTCATCATTGAATTCTCTTAAACATATGTTCCTTAAATTGAAATAGTACACTTACATTTGAGGTAGCAAATTATATCTCAGTGTCTAATTAGAAACATAAGAATAAGAATTCCATTGCTTTAAAGTCAAGTTGGGAAGGACGTCATTGGAAGATAGCACAAGTTGATAATAATGACATAATATAACAAAGATTTCCGAGATGTAATTAAATAGAAAGGATTTTTAAAATATGGAAAACCTGACATTTGATTTCCTAATAAATGTGCTACATGTGTTTGATTACCTTCTGGCTTATCACCTAAATTATTAAATAGTGAAAATATTGATGTATGAGTCACTATTTTCATTGTATATTTTATTTTTTGAGTCACTATTTTTAAAAGTATTTTCTTGACATCACATTGCTCATTTCTAGAAGTTTTACTGAATAATTGTTCACTGACTACAGTTGCTATCCATTTGATAAGTGGCTACCAATATACAGGATACTTACTATGTTGGGTTTAGTTTAAACTTTAGAGTTCAAATCTCATTGAAAGTGAAGTGGTATTTTGTCTCTGTCTATAAAATGATGCAGGTTAGTAATAGAAAGATCCTATTTTAAGTATTAGAGCAGTTTTCTTCTGAAAATGAGATGAGTTTTCTGACAGAGAATCTTCTGTGAATGCTGCATTTTCTTTGCCTCTCTACTGAAGACGCTCAGAATACACTTGCAAAGAGAATAAGAAGTCATGTCAGAGGTCAGCTATTTGAGTCCATTTTCCCACAGCCACTGGGTGCAAGTGATCTTTTACTGTTTTTTTGTTTTGTTTTTAATGGGCAAGGATTAGAGGGGATTAGAAAGAATATTACCCTCCTAAGTATAGACCCGAAACATTGAGGAGAGGGAACCCAAGCAGGCAACAGATGGGCTTTGCTTGACTAGGACACAGCCTCTACTGCATTCCTTTAAGAAACTGAATGGGGAATGTTAAGTCCCCAAACTGGATTAGTAAATAATCTCATAGCTTGTGACATCTGCTAAAATAAATCGATGAGCAGACTGCATTTTTAAACTTTGAGAGAGAACCCGAGGCATCAAGAGTAAAAGTAATTAAAGAGGCAGATTAAGCTCAATAATTGTTGGAAAGAAAATTATTGGAAAGAAGGAAAAATAATTTCAGATCTATTAATATGAGTACATATCTATTGATTAATAACCTAAGGCTTAACTTTTGAAATGACTACAACCACAATTGCAACTTTTTGTCTTTAAGATACTTCCTAGAAGTCTCAAGTACCTATAGCAGTTTTACAAAGCATTTCACAAATTCACTCTTCAATTCATGTTGTTTATCTCATTGGTGTATAACAGTTTGGAGAACCTAGAATTTGCAGTGTGAGGATGTATTTTTTAAATAACATCCGTAATTACCTCTTATTTTATAACAGAAGTTAACGTAATTTGGAACTTTGCACATATGTTTTGATGGGATTATGTAGAATGAAAATTTGTTCCAAACCTGTTCCAGTAGAGCAAGTATATTCTGTCTTCAGTCTTTAGAGAAAGTATTTACCTCACTAAATATTTGTAGAGGTTTAGTTTCAAAGTGGCCAACTTTAATAATAGTGAAGAGGAGGTACAAGTGGTTAATTTTGCATTTTTCTTCATGTTATTATATATCTGATTCTCATGATTACATTGCATTTTTTATGGGTACTAAGGTGAGTATTTGCCTCAATAGTTGAGGATAAAATTTGGGGAATTTTGTTCCATATCTGAAGAAGTATTGATAGGATATAATTTATATAGCAGGTATACATACTGATGCCTTAAATACATCTTGATGTATAATCTTTTTGCCCACTTATTTTATTCAAACTGGCCTGTGATTTGAATATATCCCTCCTGTTTGTCCTTTCCTTCTCTTAATATGCTCGCCATGAAAAAAGTCAGTCACAATAGAGCATATATTTATTGTACGATTTCCTTTCTAGGAAATGTTCAGAATAGGCAAGTTCAGAGATACAGAAAGTAGACTGCTGATTGCTGTCCCCTGAGGAGAAGGATCCCTGGTGGTTGGGATCAGCAGTTTGAACCCACCAGGCACTCCTTGGGAGAATGATGAGGCTTTCTGCTCCCATAAAGATTTACAGCCTCCAAAATCCTCGGGAGAGGGTAGGGGTGGGGGTGGGCAGCAGTTCTGCTCTATTCATAAGTCAGCGTTGACTCGATGACAGTGAGTTAGCCCCAGTGGATAAGAGGATGAGGGTGTAATCACTAAAATGTATTGTTTCTTTCATTTTTAATGTGAAGGCAATTTATTAGCAGGAAATAATTTGAGGCTGGTGACTAGGGCAATGCCTCCACCCCTTCCTCCAAGTGCTTTTGGAGAGGATGATGTTGGCATCTTCAATCCACCCAATCTTCATGACTGTAAGGGCAAGGGCCCCCGACTAGGCTCCAGGACAGAAAAGGGGGAGTGGGGGCGGTCTTAGTCTGATTTCCTCCTGCAGTGCAGAGTTTGATGTGTAGGGCAGTGATGCCCAGCTTCTTGTGTCTCTGGGCCACATCTTGGGCAGCCAACATGGACTCATAGCATAACGATTGATATCGATCAGCCTTCACCTCACCTTCATCCCACCAGTCACATGGCAGATGGTATTGTGAGGGCCAAGGCCGATGGCCTGCTTTTCCTTCTTCTTGCGAGGTGCCCTGTCTATGCCTTCTCTATACTCTGCCAGTAGAAAGAGATTTTTTTTTTCTCGAGGAAGTAAAAATGTCCTAAAATTGTGATGGTGATTGCACATATTTGTGGCTCTACTTTATAAAATCATTGGCTGAAATTGAACCACGACAGTGAATTCCGTTTCAGACCTGAACAGGTGATTAAGGGTCATATCATTGCTAATGGATTAATGTACCACATCATTTCCAAAACCCTAAGACCAGAAGAACTAGATAGTACCTAGCGACCTCTATAATTATTCTGAAAGGGATCACAGCAGGAAGTCCTGGATAGAATAAGGGGGCGGGGAGCGGGCAGAGTGAAACAAAGCTCAAAATTATTAAAAAGACCAGGCTTACTGATTCATATATAAATGAGTTGAATCTCAGAGGTCAAAGCAGGCTGCCAACGAAAAGATCAGCATTTTGAAGCCACTAGCTACTCCATTGGAGAAAGATGAGGCTTTCTGCTCCCATAAAGATTTACAGCTTTGGGAAACCACAGGGGCCATTTTTAGTCTACCCTTTATGGTTGCTCTGAGTTGGAATCAGCTCAGTGACACTGGGTTTTGTTTGTTTTCAACGTTTCTATTATATGGTTTATACTTCTAATAAAGCACTCACCAAAATCTGGTCATAATTTTCCTTTAAAACACTATCTTTCCCATTACATTATGAAGTTCCAGAGAACAGGTAGGGTTTGTATCTTTGTTTTTGTTTTATTTTCCTTAATGAGCATAGTTCTTTGTACTGAAAATATAATCAGCCAAATCCACTGACTCCTAGACGCCCTATAGGAAAGAATAGAACTGATCCTTTGAGTTTGCAAGGCTGTGTAAATCTTTATCCAGATATTTTTTATCTTTCTCCCACCGAGCAGCTGGTGGGTTTGAACTGCTGATTTTGTGGTTTGCAGATAAACACATAACCCACCATGCCATGAGGACTCCTTACATTTTATTCAGTAAATATGAAATTGAACTTTGCAATTAAGTTTCTTCCCTTGTATAATGGAAATAAGAGGGAAAAGAATGAAATATCACCACAAAATACTGTTCCAAAATTGAATTTTATAATTGTGTGTGTGTGTGTATATATATATATATACATATTATATCTTCAGCTTCATTTTCTATTTTATATTTAAGAAGACCAGGCATAAGGCATTTATCACCTTATTTTTACCTACAGGATTGTTCTTATCATTGAAATTTGCATATAGAAGTATTTATTATAAGGCATTATAAGATTTTACTTTAAAAGATCTTGGATATACATTTTTGTGGATATTTAAAGTTAACACTTTATTTTTCTGTCTTGCTTTTGTTGTTGTTGTTGTGTGTTATTTTTCCAGTATTTACTAGAAATGAAAAGTCTAATTTTACCTCCGGAACACATTCTAAAACGTGGTGATAGTGAAGCAATCGCCTATGCTTTCTTTCATCTTCAGCACTGGAAGAGAATAGAAGGTGCCCTTAATCTGTTACAGTGTACCTGGGAAGGCAGTAAGTATTCTTTTCCGAATGGAACACTAAACTCTCTGACTACTCATTGCGTTCACAGGCAGCCTCCTCTAATGAAAATATCTGAGTTTATGTACGGATTTGTTGGTCAGATTGGTCTCAAAGAGAACTCCGTGGCATTATATTTGGTTTGTTGGTGGAAATGCTTCATGTAGTCATACTGATAACACATTTAGGGAAAGCTGAATGAGTACAGACTGTTACCTAGCAATCGCTTATTTGTAATCTCTTCTAATTACCAAGAAAGTAAAGAAACTTAATCAAAATGTATTATTATTTAGATTCTTATAATTCTCTTAGAAACTATACTACCACTATTAATAAAATTCAAAAATTAATTCCATGCATATTCATTCACTCTATCACTGCTATTAAGTCAATGTTGATTCATAGCTACTCCCTGTGGGTTTTCGAGACACTATCTGTTTATGAGAGTAGAAAGCCTATTCCTTCCACACATCCCCACCCCCGCTCACAGAGCTGCTGGTAGCTTCTAACTGCCGACTATGCAGATTGCAGCCTGACATGGTAACCACTGCCCCACCAGCGCTCCTACATGCATATTCACTAAAATCAGTTAATTGTATTGGTGCTCATACTTTTTATTGAGCTACTTCTGATGTTTCATAGCAAATTCATTAGAATGCTATGGAATATGAATATTTTTTAATTTCAAGGGAAACACTGTGATTGTAGGCATAAACTCAAACTCATTGTCTTTGAGTCAATTCCAACATATAGCAATCCTGTAGGACAAGGTTGAACTTCCCCTGTGGGTTTCTGAGACTAACTCTTTATAAGAATAGAAAACCTCATCTTTCTCCTTTGGAGTAGCTGGTGGTTTCCAACTGCTGACCTTGTGGTTAGCAGCCCAACTAGTAGCCACTACACTACCAGGGCTCCTTAACTTGACATAGATGATAGTTTTGTTAGGATGCTCTTCATTTTTTTCAATTTCATTAGAGCTGTGCAAAGGCAGGGTTTTCTTGTTTGTTTGTTTTGCTTTTTGATTGTTAGTTGCTGTGATAAAAAGAAGCACCACACAAAAACCAATGTGGAATGAGATGGCAGTGCCCCTATCTGATATCAGGGTGTGAGAAGTTGTGTAGTTCCCAACTGATTTATACATTCCATTAGTAGGAGCTGATAATTATTTAAGAATTAAATATGAAATGTTTTCTTTAAATATTTGTATACTGTTTCCTCAAATGACTGCATTGTGCCTGACACATTGCAAATTGTTAATGTAAAGGTTCCCAGATTTTCTTTATTTAAGGAGTCCCTTCATGTCTCAGTAATTTTTAAATGGTGTCCTGCAAGCCTTTCTCAACCTCCGGGCATGCAGAGCTGCGTCTTCACAAGTTAGGGCTTAGTCCTTCAGCCCCTACCAACTGTCACTGCCCCCAGATGTTGGATAATTTCATAGAATGACTCATAGAACTCAAAGAGACTACCTATGTTTATATTTAACCATTTATTAGAACCAGAAAGGATACAAACCAAGAGACACATCAGGCACAGTCTGGGAGGCCTCTATTGTCCCAGGGGTGTGCCACCCTCTCTTGTGCCACCCTCTCTTGTGCTCACTTATCATGAGAACCCAACTTCTTCCACAATCAGGGCCTTTCATAACAGTACTTATGCATGAGTGGAGCCTCAATGTATGGTTATGGTCATGATTTAACACCTAAACCATGAATATGCATGATTGATTGCATCATGTCCATCCCACTCCAAAGGTTAACTGTCAGGTGGGGTATATATGTCCTCCAATCATTTGCACATATTTAAGGATTGCTGAGCTAGTTCAGAAGTACAAAGGAATTTTGATTACTGGCCAATCCTAAGGTTTATTTTTAATACCTAGAACAAAAGCCAAATCAAGTTCTTTGTCCTACAGCTCCTCAAAATCAGATAGTTGATCTCATTTATCTTGTATACATCTTTAATACCTAGTATTCTGATTAACACTCTGGAGGTTTTCAATAAGTATGTGGTTTATACTGTAGTTTATGAATCTCAGATGGTTTCTTAGAGTTATCACTGAGTTGCTATGTGACTTTTGACACATCACAAGGTATTTGTATGACCAAAAAATGCAGAGTTTGACAAAGGTTTATAGTCAAGCACTAGAGATTGACTATATTCAATATTGATGAGAATTTAGCTAGTTGAATAGATCAGTCACCAAAAATTCCAATAGATAAATAACAGCAACAAAAAACCCTTTGCTATAGCGTTGATTCTGACTCATTGTGACATTCCTTCTTCAAAATGTCTGCAAGAGTTGATAATAATCTACAGCAGTGTAGAACACTTTTTTTTTCAAAGACCCAAATAGCAAATATATTAGCCTTTGTGGGCCAAATAGTGTATCACCTTTTTACAAGCCTCATGTTGTAACATGAAATTAACCTTAAACACTGTATAAACGTAGCTGTGCACCAATAAAACTTTATTTAAACAGATACCAGATCAAATTTGGTCAAAGATCCTTACTTTGAAGACTCCTGATCTATATTAAACTTTTCTTATTGAAAAATATTGATAAAATTTTCACAAAGTTAGGAGACATTGAAAACTCTTAGGTTTTCAATAGTTAGGGCCCCAATAATTATACACATTTTATTTTTATGAAGATTCCTATAAGAAGTAGAATTCATACCTGGGAGTTACCTGTTGTGTTTATAATGAGGAGACTACTATAGAGAAAAACCCAGCCAGTCTTATCATCTACCACTCCTTTAGTTTTATTCTGACTAGACTAGAGCATTGATTACTTTAAAATAATCTTATTATTCCTCATAGTCATTCTTTTGCTCACTTTATTCCTTGAAACTTAAATGTCTCTTTTTAAAAAAAAAGTAACATGGTACTTTTATAAAAATACATCTTGAAATCTGGCTAGACCAGAGGATGTACACTGGTACAGATAGGAACAGGAAATACAGGGACTCCAGGGCGGATGAGCCCTACAGGACCAGTGGTGTGAGTGGCGATACTGGGAGGGTAGAGGGAGAGTGGGTAGGAAAGAGGGAACCGATTACAAGGAACTATATGTGACCTCCTCCCTGGGGGACGGACAACTGAAAAGTGGGTGAAGGGAGACGTGGGACAGGGCAAGATATGACAAAATAACAATTTATAAATTATCAAGGGCTCATGAGGGAAGGGGGAGCGGGGAGGGAGGGGAAAAATGAGGACCTAATGCCGGGGGCCTAAGTGGAGAGGAAATATTTTGAGAATGATGAGGGCAATGAATGTACAAATGCGCTTTACACAATTGATGTGTGTATGGATTGTGATAAGAGTTGTATGAGCCCCTAATAAAATGATTAAAAAAGGTAAAAATACATCTTGAAAATAACATTGATTTATTACATAGGATAATAAATGAGATATAATTGAATTGACTTTGTTTTCCCTCCCTCAGCTTTTAGAATGATTCCCTATCCTCTAGAGAAAGGTCATCTATTTTACCCTTACCCCAGCTACACAGAGATTGCTGATAGAGAACTATTACCTAGTAAGTAAATACTTTGGTTTTCCTAAATTTAAAAGTAGTTGTGAATTTGCTCTTTAGTATTATTCTTAATTTTAAAAATACCTTTGGTTGAAATTCTGGAAACTGTTTAAGAATTATTTTAGCCAATTCTGGGGTGCTATTGAACAATTCATTTCATTTCTAAATATTTTTTGAGCAAAACACTATGCTAGATGGGATGAAGGACTCAAAGATAAAATAACTTAAAAGACCAAGCATCTAATAAACATGTCAATGAAGAAATAGTCCCAATCCTTCACAAACTCTTTCAGAAAATACAGATGGAGGGAACACTTCCTAACACATTCTTTGAGACCAGTGTTACCCTCATACCAACATCAGGCAAACATTAAAATAATACAACAATAACTCATGAATATCACTGCAGCAATCTTCAACAAAATATTAGCAAGCTGAATTCAACAGCATATATAAAAGATTATTCGCCATAACCAAGTGGGATTCACCACTTTAATACATGATTTGGTTTGCATCTAAAAATAATTAAATATACTATATTGATGGAATAAAGGGCAATAGATAAAGAAAAAAACATTTAACAAAATGTAACACTCATTCATGATAAAACAAAACCCAAACAACAAAACAAAGCTCTCAACAACCTATGAATAGAAGGGAAGTTCCTCAATCTGATAAAGGGTATCTACGGAAACCTTCAACAAACAGCATACTTAATGGTAAAAGACTAAATGCGTTCCCCCGAATATCAGGAACAATGCAAGAATGTCCATTTTCACCACTCCTGTTGAACATTATCCTGCAGGTCTAGCCAATTGCAATCAAGCACAAAAGAGAAAAAGAATTCAAATTGGAAAGCTAGAAGTAAAATTGGGTTTCTTCATGGAGGATGTGATTCTCCATGTAGTAAATCCTAAGAAATTCACAGAAATCCTGGTAGGACTAATAAATGAGTTCATCAAGGTTGAAAGATATAAAATAATGTAGAAAATCCATTGTTTACCTACACACTAGCAATGGACAATCTGAAAATGAAATTAAAATTCTAATCATAGCATCAAAAAGAAAAAATTATAGAAGGTTAATTTTAATAGTTTGCCTTACTGTGGTGGCTTGTGTGTTGCTGTGATGCTGGAAGCTATGTTATTAGTATTTCAAATGCCAACAAGGTCACCCAAGGTAAACAGGTTTCATCAGAGCTTCCAGACTAAGAATGGACAATGAAGGACTTGGCTCCCCACTTCAGAGGAAGGAACCACTGAAAGCCGTATGCAGAGCTTTGAAACTTTGTCAGATATTGAAAGCCTAATGAATGGAAGCAGCTTGTCAATGACAATGCCAGAGATGAGCTCCTTGGGTCCAACAGCATTTGAAATGTGAAGTAGGAGGAGTCGCTTTCTCGGAGTGGAGTTGACTAGGGTGACGCATTGGGTAAAGCCTGTGGGAGTGGCATCTTTAGGATCTGCATTTGCTGAAGGGGTATGACTCAAGGTAAGGAGAAACAGCTGTAAAAATCTGATAGGAATGATGAGAATTTGGAATGTGTGAAGTATAAATCTAGGGAAATTGGAAGTTGTCAGAAGTGAAATGGATTGCCTGAAGACCAATATCCTGGGCATTAGTGAGTTGAAAAGGACTTGGATTGGCCATTTTGAATCCAAAAATCATATGATTTACTATGTGGGAAATAACACAATCGGGGAATGGCATTCATTATCAAAAAGGACATTACAAAATTAATCATGAAGTACAATGCTGTCTTTGATAGGATTATATTTATTTGCCTTCAAAGAAATCCAATGAATACAACTATTATTTAAATTTATACACCAACCACAAAAGATAGTGTTGAAGGAATTGAAGAATTCTACCAACAACTTCAGTCAGAAATTGTTCAAACATGCAGTCAAGACGCATTGAAAATTACTGGTGATTGGAATGCAAAAGTTGCGAACAAGAAAGAACAATAGTTGGAAAATATGATTTTGGTGATAGAAACGAAACTGAAGATCAGATGATAGAACTTTGCAAAACCAACAACCTCTTCATAGCTAATACATTTTTTTTTAACAATACAAACCGACTAAGCATGTGGACTTATCTAGATGGAAGCCACAGAAGTCAAATTACCTACACCTTTAGGAAGTGATGCTAGAGAAGCTCAACATCAGCAGCTAAAACAAGTCAAGAGCTGACTGTGGAACAAACCATCAATTGCTCATCTGTAAGTTCAGATACAAATCTACAAGAGCCAAAATACAACCTGTGTCTTTCCTACCAGAATCTCAAGACCATTGCGAGAATAGATTTGACTCGTTAAACACTAATGACAGAAGATCTGGTGAGCTATGGGAGAACATTAAAACCATCATTCATGAAGAAAGCTGTGGGAGGACATTAACACCATTATTAATCAGAAAAGAAAGGTCTTAAAATGATAGAAAGGAAAGAAAAGATCAAACTGGGTGACAGAGCAAACTGACATTTGCTCTTAATTGTAAAGTAGCTAAAGCAAATGGAAGAAATGAAGTCAAAGAGCAAAATAGGAAATTTCAAAAGGCAGCTCAAAAAGGCAAAATCAAATACTATATGCAAATGCCTAGAATTAGAAAACTGAAAAGGAAGGACACCCTCAGCATATCTTAAACTGAAAGAACTCAAGAAAAAGCTCAAGCTTCCAATTGCAATCTTGAAAGATTCCATAGGCAAAATATTGAATGATACAGGAAGTGTTGAAAGAAAATGGAAAGAATATGCAGAATCACTGTACCAAAAAGAACTAGTCAACATTTAAACGTTGCAGGAAGTAGAATTTGAGCAAGAACCAGTGAAACTGAAGGAAGAAGTTCAAGCAGCACAGAGAGCATTCAACAAAAACAAGCTCCAGGAATTAATGGGATAGCAATGGGAATGTTTCTTTCAACAAGTTGATGAAGCACCGGAAACACTCTTCTGTGCCAAGAAATTTGTGAGACAGCTATTTGGCTAACTGACTGGAAGAGATCCATATTTGTGCCAAATTCAAAGAATAGTGACCCAATAGAATGCTCAAACTATAGAATAATATCATTGATATTGCATGCAAATCAAATTTTGCTAAAGAACAACAGTTGCTGCGGTACATTGACAGGAGCTGCCAGAGGTTCAGGCTGAATTCAGAAGACAACATGGAACAAAGGATCTCATTGCAGTTGTCAGATGGACCTTGGCTGAAAGCAGAGAATACCAGAAAGATGTTTAAATTTTTTTAATGGGTTATGCCAAGGCATTCAACTACGTGGATCATAATCAACTGTGGATAATCTTGAGAAGAATGTGAATTTCAGAACACTTTATTGTGCTCATGAAAAACTTACTTGTACATGTATCAAGGGGCAGTTGTGTGAACAAACAAGGGAATACTGCATGGTTTAATATCAGGACAGGTGTGCACCGGTTGCGTCCTCTCACCATACTTATTCAATTTGTATGCTGAGCAAATGATCAGAGACCTGGATTATGCGAAGAACAATGTGGCATCAGGCTGGGAGGAAGGCTTATTAACGTCCTGAGATAGGCAGCTGGCACAACCTTGCTTGCTGAAAGTGAATACGACTTGAAGCACTTGCTGATGAAGATCAAGGATTGTAACCTCCTGCACCAGAATTAACACGTGTCTACTTCTAGACCATCACTTTCCCTTTCGCCTGTAACCATGAAAAAATATGAAATATTTTATTTAATATGAAAAGCTTTTCACAATTGTGATGTCATACAGTATTTTCCCTTTAGTGATTGACTCATTTCATGCTGCATGATGTCCTCTGTGCTGTCGTCTTATGAGGTGTTTTGTAGATTCATCATTATTGCTTGACGTTGTATGTAGTATTCCACTGTGTGTATGCACCCGAGTTTATTTATCCATTTTTCCACTGATAGCTGTTTAGGTTGTTTCCAGCTATTGTAAATAGTGTTCTTGCTTCTTATTTCTCTAGGATATAAACCAAATGGAGGGGTTACTGGATTGTTTGTTATTTCTGTTAGTAAGTTTTTGAGGAAGTGCCATCCCTCTTTCCACAGTGGGTATTTTGCTTTATAGTCCCACTAGCAGTATGTGCAGGTTCCAGTTTCTCCACACACTTGTAAGCATTAGTTATTTCCTGTTTTCTTGAATTTCATATTTTGATGTGCATCTCTTGAATGACTAATAATTGCAAGTGTCTATTCATATGATGAAATATCTGTTCATGTCCTCTGCACATTTTTAAATTGGGTTGTCTTTTTCTTGTTGCAGTATTGAAGTTTTCTATAAATTTTAGATATTAGTTCTTTGATAATATGTCATTGCCAAAAACTTTTTCCCAGTCTGTGGATTCTCTTTTTACTCTTTTGGGGAAAATCTTTTGATGCACGTACATGTCTAATTTTTAGGAGGTCTTCGTCATATATAGACTATCTCTGGTGGCAAAGTAGGTTGAATGTTGGGCTGCTAACTGAAAGGTCAGCCATTAAAAAACCAGTTCCAACACCTGTTCCACGAGACGAAGATGAGGCTTTCTTCACCTGCCTACTCCAGTCATGGAAACCCACAGGGGTGGTTCTTCCCTGTCCTATAGGATCTCTATGAGTCAGAATTGACTTGACAACAGTGAATGAATCATCTAATTTATCTTCTGCTATTTGTGTGTTTTTCATTATGCTTGAAAGTGTAGTCCAGGTATTAAGGCCTTAAGTTTGACCCTATTTTTTCATGATGATCTTTTTTGATGATCTTTATAGTTCTATATTTTGCATTTATGGCACTAATCCATCTTGAGTTATTCTTTGTGTATAGTGTGAGATAAAAGATAAAGGTCAAAAAAAAAAAAGATAAAGGTCTTCTTTTTTTTCTTCTTTAAATCATTTTATTGGGGGCTCGGGCAACTCTTATCACAATCCATCCATCCATCCATTGTCTCAAGCACATCTGTACATTTGTTGCCATCATCGTTTTCAAAGCATTTTCTTTCTACTTGAGCCCTTGG